TCCTCTGCATTTGTAGTTTCTATTAATTGAGGATTATTATTTTCTAAGAGAAAATTTTCAACGCTTCCATTTACAATTCTATCATTAGAATGGTTATAATGCTTATTCAAAGAGAATTGTTCTTCCATACAATTCGCGAACACCTCAGCTCTTTCAGTGCAAACGAAGCCATTTTCTGTTCTTAAAGGCTTATTCTTCTGTGTGTCCGTGCGGAAAGCTCCTGCTATTTTCTATATTGAGTTATCCTTTACACAGAAATTTCTCATTTCATTGCCTGTTCTTAAATTTTCTGCACTACTTATGAATTTGTTTGTTCAGGTTAAATATTCCTCTCTGTATTGAGGATCACAAGTCTTTTGATATTTCTTCCTACATCAGCTCCTTTGTTTGATTAGGTAGGTGATTTCTGATGGGAACTTTGTTTTATACTCTTTAAACGTGGTTGCTTCCGTATGCGCCTTTTGTGTTAGTGATAGAAAATTCTCATTATCAATGCAGTCTGTGGTATCTAATTTTCTACTAAGAATATTTTCATATAAGATCCAGTTTGTTTTATAAATCATATTAGGATTTTGAGTCATTATGAGAACAGAGATGTGCATAGGGTAATGATAGATCATTTATTCTGCAAACAGAAATAGGAATTTTCATAGTTGTTCAAAGTCTAATATATCAGGTATTTGATTTCTCATAGTTGGGTAGTATGTGGGTTCTAAAGGCGCTACCACTGTGAGAGAGTATTTATTTACCAACGATTTCAGATTAAAGTCATTAATATTCGATCTACTGCAGCCTCGATCTATGTTTTGAATTGTAATTGTTAGCTACAATGGTGTCATAGCCACTAAAAAATGGTCTTTCTAATTGAATTTCAGTGATGATAAGTGTTAGTGTGATGTATAGGCCAACAATTTTGATGATATACTTATTATAGTTTAATATGATTGAAATTTATTCCTTACCTTATTTATTAGAGTGGTCTAATTCATTATGACTTAGATTACCATATCTCCTGTCACATCTACAAGTTGTGTAGTTAGGTATTTTTTAATTAGTCTGCTTGTTTAAATGCGTCTTTGTTATTATTAACATATCAATATTGTAATTCGTAACAAAGTTTCTCAATTTTTTGGTTTTCTTTCTTATGCCGTTAGCGTTCTAATTGAACAAATTCAAGTAGGTGGTTCTCATTGGTTTTCTATTCATCATAGTTTATTGATAGCACAGTTTTTAGCAGGTCATTTAAACGTTCAATTTTATATTGAATTGACAAGATCTTTTAGCTCTGTCATCACTGCTTGCATCATCAACTGCAATCATTGTGTCGATATTAAGCGCTTTTTCCCCCCACAGGATGTTATAAAAAAGGTCCTTGTGTTCGCTACTTTTTGCCCTTTAATTTGAGACTTCGGATATTTAGGGCAACTTCTGAAATTTGAGGGGTGCTCAACCCCACAATTTGCTGTTGTTGTTGTTAATTTACGTCGTAGTAGAGCTGCACAATGGGCTATTGGCGATGGTCTGGGAAACATCGCGGTGGATGATCCGAAGACATGCCATCACAATTTTGATCCTCTGCGGAGGGAATGGCACCCCCGCTTCGGTAGCCCGACGACCTGTGCGCGAAGTCGAGCACTTTACGGTAGCACAGTTTAACGAGGACCAATACCGCACACCCTCGGTCCCTACGCAGACTGATCCAAGTGGTCACCCACCCGCACACTGACCGCAGCCAGTGATGCTTGACTTCTGTGATCTGCTGGGAAACATGTCTTAACAATCAGTCCACTGCGGGATACCCCCCAATTTACAAAACTGCTCTTGTTCTTCTGATAAGTATACGTAAAGTGCCCCACACCACGCTTTAAGCATTTTACATCATAGTTGCAGGAGACCTACACATGGTTGAACCCTTGACTTCTATAACATTGAGTTACATTATTGGTTCTTACCCTGTACCTTTCCACTTTAATTTTTCAGTTCAGTAAGTGCGATCAAAGATCTCCTTGCTTCACTCACTTTTAGGTAGGGTAACAATGAAGAGTGGAAACTTCTTCAATGCTTCATCTCGTAAGCTCTTAATTTGTTTCACTTTTAGTAAAGTGAAGTTCTTTGCTATCAGAACACTTTCCACTTCATCCGTTTCGATATTTGCAGCAATAATTTTTAAAACCACTCTAAGTTGTTGATCCATTTTCAGTTTGAAAGTATAGAACTTAATGTTCAGCTCGCTGAAGTGTCTAGTAGTACTTCTATACTCATCCTCAGTAGCTAGTTGACAGCTTAATCTCTTCGCTAAAAACTTTTCCAGTGAACCCATTGATATATAAATCACATAGGATTGTGGTCACGTTCTTACAAGTCTGAATGTTATCGTTAATGATAATAGGACATCTCTCTCAATTATTCTTTGTCTTTTGCTTACCGAACTAGCAATATCATAACTGTCAGATAACTTCTCAAGGGTAGCTCCTTTACCTTTCTCGTTTTTATTTTCAGGTTTCGTTGTCCCCTTTTCCTCTATTTTGAGGCCACCAAGTTTGAATTACGTATTTTAACTGATCCATCAACTGGCTGTGGCTCAACAACAGAAGTGAAGCTGAGTTCTTTCAGCAAATGTTTGTACTCTACCTCATTCTCCTTAAGAAGGAAATCCAATTTCTCATTCAGAGTCCTTAACTGCTGCTCCATCATAGTCAGTGCCGCTCTACCATTTCCAAAACTATCAAAACTTGCTCCGCTTTCATTGTTTAGGGATAAAGAAAAATTTGTTTTTATAATAAAGATTTAAAAAAATCTAATCTAAGCATGACTAATGAAATTGGAAGGAAAAAGAGAAGTTTCTAGCATTTTGATAAATTTTTATGTTAAATATTGTGGTTAAATTTGTTAATTTAGGATTCAGCTTCAGTCAGGAAAAAAAACAAAAAGCAGTTTTTAAAAAATGGGGTAAAAATTGATTATAACTTGGTTTGTGCTCTTGAGTTGTTTGTTTTATTTATTCAAATAGACAAAATTGTAATAAAATTAATATATTTTACAATTGTTGTTGAAGAACTGACCCAATTTTGAGTTAACGATTACTTATGTCCAACTCCTTAGCCTTGCAATTTTAAACCTAATCTAGAATATAAAGAAAGGAACTCCTGGATCAAGTATTGGGAGAAATTTGCCTTTGTGGAGGACTTTTGATGAATTTAATCACCACTTGTGTTACACGGAGAGGAAAATCACGAAAATATCTCACGGTTAGCCTAATAGCAAATGGAAACATAGATTTTGATCATAATTGCAATTGTAGAATTTTTTTTCCTTTCGGCATCTTCGATTTATGGGAGACCCCTTCGAGAGTTTCACTTCGGATTTGGAAAGCAGGAAGTTGTGATAACCATCACCACAATTATATGATTTGAATTAGAATTAGTAACTAAAAATTATGTTTCGAAATGAAATTAAAGTGACATAAATTTTTAAAAAATATATATCACACAAACTAAACATAAATTTTGATTCAAGCTCTATTTATTATAAATAAAGTTATTAATTATCTATTCATAGCAGCAAGTCATTAAATATAAATATAAGATTTTCAATTTCAAATGATAATAATTTCGATTTTTTATCTTCATTAAATCATATAAATATTAGATTTTGAATTTATTTAAAAACAGAATTCCTCACTGGTGGCCCCAGAATGTTTCGATGGGTAAGTTTTCTAAATGTTATCAAAATAAGCTTACCTATGATTTCTCGCTGCTAAAAAAAAAAAGAATATTATTTATCTGAAAATAATATGAATTCTAAATACCTCAGAGGAAATGGGACTATGAATTTTACTATTTTAATTTGATTCATACATTTAGGAACAATATCGATTTGTGTTCTATTCCAACGGCAGTCAATTTCTAACTAAATCTTTTTAATGTTATTAAAAGTAACAAATTTTATTGAAACTGAAATTCACGCCATCCATGGGAGAAAAGTTTATTAACTGAACAACCTTCTTCAAATTCATAGCTTATTTAATCGTAATGATAATATTAAGGCAGAGAACAGGAAATTTCCAGTTCATATTAACCTAAAAAACCATATTATTCTAAACAACTGTCTTTTTAAACAAATTAATGGTATCCCCATGGGAAATAATTTTAGTACTAATGTTTGCAATATTTTGTATGTATTGAAGCTTCTCCTGTTGTGTGGGTCATAATTCAAAAAACCATCAATCCACTTCCTTTCCTCACTCTAAATATTGTAAATGCATTTTTAATAAAATATCTACTTTAAAAAGTAAAATAACTTGATTTCCATAATGATAATGTTTCTTCAGACATAATCCAATCTTCTTAACATCCCAGGTGAAATAAGATCCATTAAAACTTACATCTACACACATTTTCATTCATTAGAGCTAAAAGGTTAAGTTACCCAATGTTCAAAGGTTAAGTTTCCAAGGTTCCAAAAGGTTAAGTTTCCCAATACGAGTCAAGACATATTTTCATACGATATCATGCATTTTGATGCTATTTGATTTGCTATGTTGTTAAAGTCACATTAAAGCTACAGCTTTGGGCTATCAATGTCGTTTCAACAACTAAACATTAGACAGAGTTAAAAGTTTAAGTTTGCATACAGATTCTTAGTTGTGTCTCATTCTTCTTGGTATCTTAAATTATTGATTAATTATTTTGCAATCATTTATAACATGTAAGATTGTTTTTTCACGATATTTTGTATTACTAAAAGTTTTTATTATTTAGTTGAACCTAAACTATTTCTAAAAATTAAAGTTAAGTAAACTTTATTACAAAAAAAAAAAAAACTACCAGGAACGATAAAATTTTATGGAGCTGCATTTTACATTTTTAACATTTAAAATATTTTTGACTTCATTACAGCAATTTACTTTTATATATATA